CGAAGGAACCTGATTTAACAATATGGACTGCGTAAGAATATCGTTTGTTTACCTTAGTTTATAGTTTAGATTTTGTTTTGTTTAATAGTTAATTTTTATAGAAGGTGCTGAAACGTTATGCTGTTGCTTAGAAATGAAACTGTAGAGAAATGTTTTCTTTGTTCACTTAAATAAACTCATGTTGTTTAATAATTGGCCTTTCTAGTCCTTTGAACAGAACAGTTTCCCTATAGATAACGAATTTGGCCTTACGTTACCAAAATTGAGTCATTGAACAGTAAAGATATGGTATTAAGTGTTTTCTTTTTAGTTAAAATCGAAACAGCCTTAAATGCAGGTTTGCCAAGAGTTCATGTCCCGGAAACTGTGTTGACTCAAGCAGTTAAATTCAACCGGGAGTGAAGGAAGCCTGGATTTTCCTGTTTCGTGGTTTTTGATCTCATTTATGGGACCAATAACTCACAACTATAAAACAACTCCCAGTAAAGCCAGAAATTCTGTGGAAGCAAAGAGTCAAAACCTTGGCTTGCATCCACGCTTCTTGTACCGTGTTCCTGACCTTGAACTCTGGACTCTGCCCTTGGACTACACTGGTATTGGACTTCGGACTCTGACCCTGGACTACGCTGTGTATCGGACTCTGGACTTTGACACTGGACTTCATTCTGTGAGTTGGTTTATGGATATTGGCTTTGCATTCTTGGTATTCTTAACCCTGGACTGGCTTATCGGACTTTGGCTGTTGTAACCTCCGGGAACGTGACACCATACGGCCACCACTTTTGCTGCCCTGTGAGGAAAGGGCGTGAAAACACAGTGGGCGGCCATTTTTTTACCCGGTGGCCATTTTGGAACCGCCGATCAGTTAGAAAAAACATCACTATGTGAAAATCGGTAAGTGAAACAGCTTACCGATCGTCGCAATGTTTTACCATTTGAAACATTGCAATGGGATCTCTTTTGCGATTGCAAAAAAGCCATCGCTATGCAGATTCGTCATTAAATGGGGCGCCTGTTATGCGGGGCACCACTGTAGCATTAAGTTGTTACTGCAAAAAAGAGTAGATGGGGAGGTCTCAGAGCATATAGGAAGGTATCAGTTTATTAAAGTTTATTAGTATTTAAGTTCAGCAAGGAAAACTGATTTAAAGAGAACGACACAAACAAGATGGACAGTTGATTGCCTCCATGTGGGTGCACATGTAATCAGTAGTACCTAAAATATATATCTAGTTTATTAGATGTAAGGTAGGTTCCCATTGACAAATTGTCCAGTCATGTATAGTTTATTAGATGTAAGGTAAAGGTTCCCATTGACAAATTGTCATGTCCGACTCCAGGGGGCGGTGCTTATCCCAGTTTCCAAGCCGTAGAGCCAGCATTTGTCCATAGTTTCCGTTGTTACGTGGCCAGCACGACTAGACATGGAACGCTGTTACCTTCCCACCGTGGTAGTACCTATTTATCTACTCGCATTTTTACATGCTTTCAAACTGCTAGGTTGGCAGAAGCTGGGACAAGCAACAGGAGCTCACTCTGTCATGTGGATTTGATCTTACGACTGCTGTTCTTCCGACCTTGCAGCAGAGGCTTCTGTGGTTTAACCCACAGCACCACTATGTCCCTTTATCAGATGTACAATCTTGCTATTGTTATATCATTTATTGTGCATTTTAATGTATGTGCATATGTTCATTGTTTTAATGGCCAGTGGCTATAATAAACTTTTACATCATGGGAATATCTCATCTGAAGACCCACATGAAATAACTTGGCTTTTAAAATTGAAATTGTGTGTATCCCACATGAAATGACTTGGCTTTTAAAATTGAAATTGTGTGTAATCTTTTTTGCATTTTGTTTTAAACCCAGCATTTTGGTGAATGTATGTATTTGTACTTTTTAATCTGCTAGCATTGTGTTTGTTCAGCTGGCACCATACTTATTTTATTTATTTATTTACAATATTTTTTAGCTGCACCATTACCAGTGGCTTCTGGGCGGCGTATATATTATTACTTGTACAGTGTATATATTATTACTTGTACAGTGGTGCCTCGCAAGACAAAATCAATCTGTTCCATGGTTAATGACGTCTAGCGAAAATTTCGTCTTGCAAGGCATGGTTTCCCATAAGAATGCATTGAAATTTCATTAATGTGTTCCTATGGGGGGGGGGGAAGTCCAAAACAAAACAAAAATTTAAAATAAAGTCACTTATCAGGTACTGTAGACTGAGCCTGGCTCCTCACAGTGCCTTCGTAGCCCCAGAACAGCTGGAAAAAGAGCAGCAAACAGCTCAGAGCTGGCACCCAGCAGGGAGCCGGGAGCCATTTTGTTCTCTTCTCTGCTCCCGCCCCCCGCCCTGCCTCACAGCTGATCGGCGCTGGGTCCTAGAAGCTTCTCCAGCAGGTAAACAGGCAGTGGAAATGCACCCGGAGAAGCCTCTGAAAGTGGTGCTTTGCCACGGGGTGCATGGCAGGGGCAGGCCCGTCCCCCCCGGCAAAGTGCTGCTTTCAGAAGCCTCTGGGGCTTGTTCAGCAGTGGAAAAGCACCCAGGCTTCTGAAAGTGGCGCTTTGCTGGGGTGGGGGGCACGGGGGGGCAGGCCTGCCCCTGCCACCCCTCGGTGGCAAAGCCCCACTTTCAGAGGCTTCCCCGGGTGCATTTCCACTGCCTGTTTATCTGCTGGGAAAGCCCGGAGAAACCTCTGACACCCTGCGCCAATCAGCTGTGAGGTGGGCCGGGGGTAAGGAGTGGACCATCTTGAAAAGCAGGGCCATAGGAACAATATTCTTCCGAGGCACCAAAACCTTCACCGGACCCATTCATCTAGTGAGTTTTTCGTCCGGCGAGGCAATCATCTTGTGAGGCTCCACTGTACTTATGTTTTAAATTGGTGGAAGTTGGATGACCAAGTGGTCAAAACAATAAAGACATGGCTATATCCACAGAGAATAACTGTGGCATGAATTCAAAGACAATAAAAGTACATGGAATACTGAGAAATCCTTACATCACTGACCAGCTTTGACATGAAGTAATACTTGCTTCAGTTGTAATCCAATATTTAACTTTATTACAATATAAAATGGATAACGAAACAATCTAGTCATTATTGGAAACATTAAAATAAAGATAAAAGGGACAGTGGTTGCCTATAAAATAGTCTAGTGTATTGAGAGAACAGGATAGAAGATTGGTTAATCATCCAACTCCTTCACAGTTAATAAAATAAGGAAAATGTTCAGACTGAGGTGACCTAGTTAAATTTACTACAGTCTGCCACCATATTTTTATCATATGACTTTAGAAATCAAACAAGCTACCTTACACATGTCTGATGGGGTAACTGGGAAGGTTAATTGCCTAAGCCCAAGTGTAGCATTCAATCAGACTTTGAACAAAGCCTGACTGGATAAGCAGCCAGTTCATTAGAGATAAGAAAACTAAAATACCATATTCATTTCAGATGATACATTTTTTTATCCTTTGGACTATGATGTAAAAAAGCACATCATTTTCAGCAGTACATCTATAAATGCCTGCTACAGAATCTTAAAGCTCCAATTTTACTAATTCACCAAATACCAATTAAATTCAGATGTAATCTCTTTCTATATGAAAAACAATGTTTGGTATCATCTTAGATGTTCAGTTAACAACTAATCTCAATGCTAAATTTTGCTATTTGCACCTGCAACTGCATGTAATCATACTGATAACAGAATAGTCAGTTTATTTCTATACACTGAAGATAGCAAATGTTTCTGCGTAACCGAAGGATGAGTAGCTAAACGATTAAAACAATTACTTCAGATATACTGGCCAGAATCTGATGGGATTCACACTGGAGTAATTGCAGTAATATATATTATGGCCATAACTTAATGAGTTGCTGTTCATATTCCTGGCCACACAGCAACCACTCAAAGAGGAATATGAGTGGTAACTTGTTAATTATTACTGTCATGATCTACATTATTATACTTACGCCACCGCAGATCCCCAGTACAATTCTAGCTAGTTTTTAGAGAGTGTAAGCATCTCACTGTAGATTTTATCACATGATGCTTGTCTGCTAGACAAATTGACATCTCTGGTAGAAGTGAAACCTCCTTCTCCCTGCATCTTCCCCAATCTAGCCCGGAAGGAGGGAATCTGGGAGCATGAGGAGATGCAAGGTGGTATGTTGTGTAAATATTAAATCCATTAACGCCAGGTTGCATGTAACCCATGATCTGCTTTTAACATATATATTTAACCTGAGAGATTACTTGCTATTTCCATGATCAAACCAGTTTATCAGTTGTACTAGGTGATCACAATTTTTATGAAGACAAAGCAAGGATCTTAGTGTTTTGGAAAATTCTGAAAAGAAATGCAGAGAACTTATAGAAGTCTAATGCATTGAGGAAATACAGACGTCATGTTAGGTCACTTTCATTCAATGCTAATGAAATTACATTTAGATTTTTCAAAGCTGTCTCATGTCTGCTTTGGTTTCTTTACACACAACACTTTGGGAGAAGGAAACAAAATTTTAATTGTCATTTTTAACTGTTCATGGCAGAATCATGGTAAAATATTCCACAGGAGTTGGAAGAAACTATATAAATACACATAATATTCAGGATATGGAAAACTCTGCTTTCCATAAACAGTATCATCAAGATCTGAACATCTAAATTTCAAAGAACAATAAAGGCTTTGGGGGAAATGTTCATGCTTTAGCCAGGGGGCAAATAAAATAAAAAAAACTGAGGGAGAGAAAAAAAAAAGGCTTGCATAATGCATTGGCTCAGTCACTGTGGTATGTCCACTGAATTTGGCCCTTTTTAAGTTCTAAGCACAGCAATGGGTTTAGGTGGTATATAAGGAAAACAAAGTGCTTGAAACAACACCATTGCCTTTGTAACATACCCATCATGCTATTTTAAGTATTGGCACTGTAATAGCATTGGTAATGTAAAAAGCACAGCACATAGTGCAGATATTTATTTAAAAAATCATGTTTTGGAGAAATTCATGCATGAAATATGGAGCACATAAAGTTTTTAAATTTAATTTGTAAGTACACTGGCTTAATATACACATTTCAAAGGAAAACACAGTTCAGGAATATAAAATACCACTTTACAAATTTATTTCCTTCTTTGTAAGACCTAAATTTAGGGTTGTTTTCAGATTAGGAATTCCTCTGGAGTAGAATCTCTGAAAAATTATTTAAATATTGAGCAATTAAACGAATATTAACTAAGATAGATCTCATCTTGATCAGCCACATAATGGATGAAGTAAAGCGGGTAAAGTACGCATATTCAGTTAATATTTTTAAATACTGGATTTTTGTTTATGTGCACACATTTTCTTATAAGGCAATTTACAATGCCTCTTGAACAGCAGAGACCACATTTTATGGCAGTGCAAAAAACCTGGGGCATATCACAGGTTTCTAATAATGTATAATCCAATCTGCAACCTAGCTGAACTATCATCAGTGAATCTAAGAGTGTTTGGCTTCATTAATTTCAATGAGACAAAACCACTTTTATTAATTCTGGCTTATGTTCTTGTAGAGGAATCTAATTTATTTGCTTCCTCTCCCGTTTAAAAAATGTTCAACAGTAGGTGCACAAAATACAAAACTGTCAACATGATTTTTGGTATGTACTGTATTTCCAAAACAAAATTTGCATCTCATAATTGTCAGAACTTTAGACAAAATGACAATATTGTATGAAAACAAATTTTACTACTTGCTAATTAGTAATAACATGAGATTTTGAAAGCTCCCAAAAATTAACCATATATACTGTTATTTCAGGAAATTTCAAGGAAGTAATGAATCCCAGGATTCCACTGTATGACAGGAATGAGTTTCTGCTTGAGTAAAAAAGTGTATGTCACCAATACTGCATCTATATCCTCCTGATGAAAGCTGGCTTCAAAGAGCCAGAGAACACCCCCTTCCTCAGGGCTACAGACTGGGGAGAAGGGCAGGGAAGAGACTGGAAGTCTCTTCTGCTTTCATAGCAAGATCTTTGAATCCATCCAAAGCAGCTTGTGGTATGCCACTGCTGACTGAAGTGATTTTCCCCAACTACTTTGTTGATTATATTCAAAAGTAATTGCATTACATAGTAACTGATGCTGATCCCTTTCAGTACAGAATAAATTTCTGAAACAAGGTTCACACCTATGACTTCATTTTTTACACATTCACAATTTAGAAAAAAATGGAGAGCTTTCATACATGTCAGCTTTTAATCTCATCCAGTCATTCAATCGCTGAAAAAGATTTTTTTCCTGTGTTAGTATTTTGGCAGCTTTTTTCAGCTTTTCTTCATTTCTTTCTAAGTAACGGATGCCATCTGTCTGCAACTGATTAAGCTTTTCTTTACGATTTTCATCCAAAGCTATATCTTCACTCATCAAAGGATTAAATCTGAAGTAGGTGTCTGGAGGTAGAAGAGCATCCAGCATAGTGTGGACTTCTAATTTTAAGAGAGAAACAATAAAGACACAACATTAATTTCAGCACATATATGCAGCTTTGTGAACATAGGTTTACTTTAATTGAGGTGAAGGAGAACTAAGGGGCTTGCTGATCATTAGTGTCTTTTGCCAGTTCACTGTTCTATGTCTGTCAGCTGATACTATAATTTGGATATTATGCCATGTACTGCTCCTTTTCTGGGGAGGGAATATGTACTGTATTTGCTGGCGTACAAGATGACTTTTGGGGCCCAAAAAACATGCCTCCAAGTGGGGGGGGTCGTCTTGCACGCCGGTTGCACTGAATGACGCGGGGCTGCGCTGGCCGGGGAGGAAAACAGGCGGGCAGGGAGTCAGTCGGTCTGTATGGAGGGAGGGAAGCACAGCCTGCCATGCCTGAGTGGCTAGAGCCCGCTGCCGGGCGCCCCGCGCCGCTGAGCCAGTTGCGCGCTCACTCGCCCGTCCCCCGCCCGTTTCCCTTTTCCTCCTCCTCCCCAGCCTCTTGCTCTTTCTCACCCTCTCACTGCCATGCCTGAGCCGTTGCCGGGCTGCCCCCTGCCCCGCGCCACTGAGCCAGCCGCGCACTCGCTCACCCATCCCCCTGTTTCCCCTCTTCCTCCTCCTCCTGTTGGGGGGGTCGTCTTATACGGCTGGTCGCCTTGTGCGCCGGCAAATACGGTATACAGTATATGAAGGATTTTAAAAAATCAGAAATTTGTCTTGAATCCAAGTAGAAATCACAACAGGCATCCTAGCAGGAACCTCAGCTAACTGGGGGGATATATGGCACAGAAGTAAAAGCACCTGGTGAAGCATAAACACCTTATTTAGCCCATAAAAAAGGCTAATGTGTATATCATGAATATAATTGTCACCTTCTCATTAAAGCTTTTGTTTTGGTTTCTGCTGCTATTCCCTTGCTTAATGAAGATTTTACAGTATTGCTGCTACCATGGAAAAAAGATATGGCAAATCTATAATTACTTAATGTCTCAATGTCCCACTTCCCTGTCCATTTACAATTCTTCATTTCTTTCCCTCTGCATATTTTCTATTTCTTATTTCTACTCAAAACTTAAAAATGCCAGTGACACGAGCAATGGTTTCTGCTAATTGTCAAGAAGGTAGGTATGGTGGCAGTCAGCCTGCTGTAATACTTGCATTGGGAGGTAATCCCCTATTGACACCAATGAAGGGGAGGATTCTCTTCTAATATAAACTGCAGCTTCAAAGGGGGAAATTTTCTTTCATGTTGCAGCAGAGGAGGAAAAGATAAGTACAGTGGTGCCTCGCATAAAGAGCGCACCGTTTAATGACGAATTCGCATGGGTTTTTCTATTCCGTTTAGCGATGTTTCCGAATAGTGATGGTTAATCCGGAACGGATTAAACTTGCTATGCGGGGCACCACTGTATTTCCTCTCTATACCTTATCCAGTTATTACTAGCCTGCTTGCATTATGCTCTTTATACTTTTCCTTCTTAAAAACCTGTCAGTTAAAAGCTAGGACACACTTGTGTCACAGCTTGCTTGCCTCCCAGTCTTCTTCACAACAGGGAGGACAGCAGGAATGGAAACTGAAGCAGTATTAGGTCAAGAAATAGGTCTTGACTAAATGGCATGGGACAAGAAGACATCAAAGGGCCAAATCTACATTCTGGATAAGGTTCTCCCCCCTTCAGTTGTCATTCTGAGATTTTCACCATAATCACCTCACCAAGTGGCCAATACTTTCTACAACTGAAATGGCAGATTAAGTCCATATTGTTAAGATTTAGATGTCTCCCTTTAAAGCAACATAGCCTATGGAACTTAGTTTCTGTGTATACATCATTCCCCAAAGAGTTCAGTATTAATTTTGTGTGACCTATTAAGGTAAATCAAACAAACCATCAAGGAAGCAAGACTTAAATAATAACACAAGACTTGATTGTTGACATATCAAAAGCAGAATTTGTGTCCATTCTGCATAATTACCAGTGCCGAAAACCCCAAAGCTCCTTGTCTGTACTATAATGTTCATTCCAGCATTCTTCTGGAATTTCAAGGCTAGCACCATTTCTGAGGATAAAGATTGGTATCCCTAATACCTCATCAGCATTATGTCCACATATTCAGATGTGATGTATTCCTCAATCAAAAGAGACCTTAATAACAATATAATCAAGGTACAATCTCAATAAGTTAATTTAAGTGCCTATCAGGTAAGCTTTATCATCAGCTCCCAGAACAATTCTTGTTTATCAAATATATAACACAATACTTAAGTCAGGAAGAAAGGCTACATTGTGTATTATAAACAGACTAACTTTTAAAAATACATTTTAATTATATTTTGTATGCAAATATTATATATGACCTAAACCCCAAATCCTCACATAGAGGACCAGAAAGAGGGACTGACAAAATAATTCCAATTTGAACAAATGTTACAAAACATGTCCTTGATGGAAGCAGAATATCCTTTGATTATATTATTGCTCATAAATCAAATTTATTCATATATCAGTATAGTGTCTGCATCTAATCACAAAAAAGCTTTATACTGGGAACTCAAAAGTGCTAAAAGATTAGATTTTTTAAAAAAGTAGACAACATTTAATACCAACCTTCAGTATCAGTGGCACTGCTGATGACATTCGTCAATTTTGTTTTCAGACTTGTATAGGTGACATTGGCTTTTCCTATGCTTTCATATCGGCCAGTTCCCAGGGACACTACACACTGCAGAGGCACATTTGGCCAAAGACACTTACACTCATGCACTGCTAATGCTGTAGGATTATTTAAAAGCAGTCCTCCATCCTATGAAACAAACAAAAAAGACAATATATTTTAGCCATAAACATTCATAGTTAAGTCACTGAAATATTTCAAGATGCTATTTATTTATTTTTAATATAGTCCACTGTCATGCATAACCATATCCAAACAATGTAAAACAAATCATAATACAGTATTAAGATACATACAGACATTTGTCAGGGTACTATTGGTTTATACAGCATAAATCCAAAACTGTGTAACTGTTCCGGCAGTCTCTTACACCCTCAAACATATCCAAGTCACACTCTCAGCTGCTGCTCAGGTGCATACCAGACTGTGAGAAAACTGCAAGCGCTACTTACTCCATTTCCTTTATTGAGTCAATTAAGCTGAGTCCTAAAACAATAACATGTATTGTTTTAGGTCTCAATTTAATTAAAACATAGGTAAAGGTTCCCTTTGACATTTTTTAGTCCACTTGTGTCCGACTCAAGGGGGCAGTGCTGAATCCATTTTTCAAGCCATAGAGCGCTTGTCCGAAGACAGTTTCCGTTGCCACGTGGCCAGCGTGACTAGGGAACGGCGTTTTATCTTCCCACCGAGGTGGTACCTATTTATCTACTTGCATTTGCATGCTTTCATACTGCTAGGTTGGCGGGAGCTGGGACAAAGTGACGGGAGCTCACTCTGTTGTGTGGATTCGATCTTACGACTGCTTGCCTTCTGACCCTGCAGCACAGGCTTCTGCGGTTTAGCACACAGCGCCACCACATCTCTCGTTAATTAAAACATAGTAGACATAAAATATAACAAATATTAAATTATAAAATGCTCGGACTAATACAATTTTTAGCATGTGTTTGAACTCTGACAAAGTTTGTTGACGTTTTACTTCTATGAGTTATACTTCCCAGATTAGAAGTTATTACAGAAAAAGACTTCTTGGGTTGTTACCAGATGTACATTTGAAACACACAACACACCAGGAAGATCTCTGATGAAGACAGCAATGGCCAGACAAGTGGGAAACAGCTGACTCAGAAATCCCAGTCCCAAATTGTTAAGGCCTTACATGTTAATACCAAAACCTTAAACCTAGCAAATATCAAACTAGCAGGCAATTAGTTCCTCCAAATACAGTGGTGCCGCGCTTAGCGAGCGCCTCGCTGAGCGATGAAATCGCTTAACGAGGCGCGCTGGGACATCGCTGGAGCATTCGCACAGCGATGGCCCCTATGGGGATTTTTCGCTTGGCGATATTCGCTAAGCATTTCGCTTAGCGAATATCGCATAACGAAGCCGGGAGAACAGCTGATCGGCGGTTCCAAAATGGCCGCCGGAAGGTCCGCGCCGCATTTTCGCGCCCTGCCCTCGCTTATCGAGGGCGCGAAAATGGCGGCGCTATGGCAGAACATCGCTTAACGGTGAGTTTTAAAGCCATAGGAACGCATTGAACGTTTAGCGATGTTTAGCTATGCGAGGCACCACTGTACTGTGTTATGTGGCAGCAGCCAGACTCATCAACATAGTAATTTTATTGCTGCATTCTACACTAGAATGACTTGCTACACTAGGATAATCTGCATGTTGCACTAATTTGCATAGTTACACACAGTATTTGAAGGAACTAATTGCCTGCGCCTGCTAGTTTGCTATTTGCTAAGGCTAAGGCTTAAAAACCTCTCCTCATGATTACTAAACTAATATGCAAATAGGTGAGCAATTGTTCAGAGCTGCTTACTCCAGATGCTCAAAATACTCTGAGGTGATGGCTTCAGAAAAAAAGGTCTTTCAAACTCTCATCTTTCTGAAGTAATAGGTTCCTACTTCAGCCTTGGTAGGTTGGACTATGATACCTGACGCTCTGGAGGTTCCATATCACTGATGTACAAAAGAAGAGCTTTAGCAACAAAGCCATATTTCCCACATCTCTCATAATAAATGCGTTACCATTACAATTTTTAAGCTCTGCAATCTGGGTAATATAAATTGTACCAAGCATTTACACTCACCCACCCAGTTGCTTTAACTCACCATGTCAACAGTTTGCCACAGACTGACCTTTATTCCTATGAAATGTCAACAAATTATTAGCTACCTGTAGTTTGCTAAATTAACACATGAGACTCAGGGACAAACCAGGCAAGTGTATGGCTGGTGAAGAAACAGGACCACAAAATCTCTACACTGAGTGGAGTTGCGCTATTTGTATTTCTATCCCTGGGGATACAAATACTCTTGTGCCGTGGAGAACTAGCCTCCCCCCTCCGAAATGGCCACTCACCAGTTGCTACACAGCACATGCAGCCATCGTCTGCACCAATTGCATAAGCAGCCCACCTGGTACTTCCCTGCCTCCCCATGTAGCCAACGGCTCAACAGCTAAGTGGGGGAGACTCTTCATCATGCCTTCTTGCCAGAGTGGTCGGTTTTGTGGGGAGGCAGGTAAACATTGGCTTGGCTGCTTCCGCAATTGGTGTGACAAAACGGATGATGGCTTTGCATGCTGCACAGCAACCAATGAGTGGACCAGCCAGTTTGGGAGGGGGGCTGGATCTCTGCAGCACCTGTGCTGATAATCTTATTTGTGCCGATATTCTTATTTGTATCCCCAGGGATACGGATACAAATAGCCCAACTCTGAGTATACGGGACAAACACAATAAAACATTAATTAAAGGTTGCATATACATACCTGAGAGCATCTGAGTAAAATTATCATGGCACTGGCTAGAGAACTTATTTGATACAGTTGTTGTTGGAAACCACTGTAGTATAACTAACGCATTGGAGATTCCCATACGCAATTGAGGAAAGCATTAAACCCTAAAACATGTGCTACACTTGGTACAGAAAGCCTCTTTCACCAGATATGAAAAAAGAAAATTCATCATGCCTTTTGAAGCTTCTGCTTAAAAAGAAGTGTAAACAGCAATATTTAACATTAGCAAACATATTCTCTCTCCCATACGTATTTTCCGAAGCATGGTGATTAAAATAATTGTCTTGATTACACAGATAATCTGCACTACAGAACCACTGGCATTTGCAGTGAAAGACTGCAAGTACTGTACTGCATTTTCATAAGTTACAATGATATTTGGAACATGTCATCCTTGTCTCTTTTCAGTGCAAAATTAACACATTTCCAGTGTACATGCAGCTAGTACATATGTACCAGTCCCTATACCATATCTTCAAAAACCAAACCAACCACAGCTCTAATCCCAAGTAAATCCAAATTACATCTATACTTAATATATAATTCAAAACACACAGGAGATTTTATTAGAAACCCTTTTTTCCACAGCTGCAGCAGATAAAACAAAGATGCACATCATTGGCCTGATGAGACAGTTCTTTGACTAAGGCCTCAATATAACCTACAAAAGCTTTTTGAACATTTCTTGGACCAATTAATATATTGCGCCTTCAGCAGAAGTTAGGATAACAGTGGTGTCTTAGTGCACATTAATTTTTTTTTTGGCTAAAATTGGAATTACCCCCTTACAGCACATAGTAAACATTGTGCTGCTTTATGAATAACTTCACTGACTGCAGTTTAATACTCAGTTTTTTAAAGCTATAAGAACTACGTACCAGTGGATTCTAAATGAAGTCTAGAATGTTCAACTTTAGGCACATTGGCTTAATTATAAATCATACACAGAAGAGAAGCAATGAAATGTGTTTCACAATATCAGTTTTATGTTGAGATAGGAAACATGTGGCCCTCCATATATTATTGGACTCCAACAATCCCTTACTATGCTCATTAAGGCTGATGGGAGATGCAGTCTAACAGCGCTGGAAGAGCTGAAGAACTTCCAGTCTCAGTACAAGGGTGTACTCTTTTTCAGATCACACCTCATTCACAAGCAGTGATTCTTCTTTATATTAGAAATTGTGATGACATCTGAACTCTGGATGTGGTTGTTTTCGTCTTCCTTCCAGCCAAAGATGTGAAGGACTGGGGGAGGCAGGGCAGAAAAATTCAGAAAAAATAGGACATTGTGGGACACATAGGGCAATCTCTGATAAATTATGTTCACTTTTGTAATAAGTGAAACACTTTCTAAGACAAAGTTGTTGTTATGTGCCATCAGGTCACCTCTAACTTGTGGCAATTTTAAGATGTCCTCTCCTCAACAGTTCTGGTCAGCTCTTAAAAACTCATGGCTCTGGTTTCCTTTATAGAGTCAGTCTATCTCATATTTGGTGGTCTTTTTATGCTGCCTTCAACAAAGTTTCACACACTCAAAATTCCCAAATCCCAAGAGCTGCATAGTATGAAGATCTGTATGTAAGACTATCTACAGAATGAGATAATATGAAATACTTGGGCATACTGTAGGCAAACACTAAACTCAAATTCAGGACGCACTTCTGCAACCACCCTCATTAAAAAGCATAGAGAGATAGTTATCGGTTTTCTTTTCCAACACACTTTTTGCCAATTCATTATTACAAAATTGAGCTTGCCTTTTTTGGCTGATCTCTGTTCTAGTTTGATGGACGCAGCCACAGCAAAGGCAAAAACATATCTACATAAATAACATAATTTGTTTCAATTATTTAAAAATTGTGATTTCTGCTCTCCTCCTTCCCCCCATTTCTCATATGGCAAAAACTGAGGAAAATGTGTTTAGCTAGCATAGGATGCAATTGTTTGCAGCTCTCTCTTTAATATGGGGTATTTTCCTAATTCTACTTTACAAAATGAAGGCTTTTATTATTGTTGTTGTTGTTAAACTTCATAAATATGCCAAATAGTACAATTTTGTTTGTTAAATAAATTTTGAATGAAACATTTTATGTTGATAAAGCTGTAAAATACGTTTATGTTTAATACAAAAATAGGTATTATATGTATTTTAATTCTTCCCAAATTTCCATTTTTATTATAGCTTCACATTTTCTGGAAACGTTACATCTCTATGTGCAGCATCTTTACATTTTATACAACTGAGAGTTATTGCAGTAGACCTGTCTAGTTCATCAGTTGGTTGGTTGATTTTATGCAGTGCATAGAATTTTCA